AGTTTGGGGATGCTTTCTTTCCTCCAGCTGGCTTTGCTTAGTGGTCCGCTGAACACGCCCTCTTGCAATTAAGAAGGCATTTCTCCTGTTGGGATGATGCCGGCTCTTTTGAACACGGGCGCTATTGATATTGGATGCTAAGATGAATTTTTCATTGAAACGCGACAGTTCGACCCTCCGTTTTGGGGATCCTCCTTTTGTATTCTCTCTTTCCGAAAGGTGGCTTTGCTTAGTGTTCCGCTAAGTCCTCGCGGGCTGCGCCTGCGTTCTTTTTATTGTTGTTTATATACTTGATAGTGTGCGTTTAGGGTTTATGCATTCGTTTAATGATAGGTTCCTGGATGGCCTGTGCTGCATATATTTGGTCCACGTGTGGGTAGGCAGCTTCTAGTCGCCCATGGCCTTTGAGAGCAACAAGTGCAAAATAGAATCATTTGCGCCTAAGCTCTGTGAGTTTGTGGAGTGTGGGCTTAGGATGGCCTTAGGTGAATGTATTTGGTGAAGCCTGGTTTCGCCTGCAGATTTTTTGTGAAAGTTGCATTACAAGGTGTACACATGTTTGATGCTTTTTGTGGGGCGACATTTAGTCTGGAAGCGTCCCTGAGGTGTGATCGCACGCGCATTGTCGTTATTTTGCTTCCGGCGTTTCTGAAACGTTGAAAACCATGCGCTCTGATCCCTTGTGTAGTTCAGCTGTGACTCCACAAAACCAAGCAGTTCAGGAAAGTTCAAACATAGCTTTGTTTCTGTTTTGGTTAGTTCTGCAGTTGGGACGGTTTCTGCACTATCCTTCAAAGGGAGACAGAAGTAGATGAGGAGAATTAAAAAGGGCCCTGGAAAAACTTCGGCAAGATTTACGTTCCAAAAGCCCAGGCGGGGCGAAAATTGCATTCCAGCTTTGAAACCTCACTGATTTGTATGACCATGTATTGAAAAACGTGATTTCAGGAGCCAACTCACAGAACACACACAATGAAAAAACGTAAATCACTTCACCCCAATCCGCTCCATCCACCTTCTCTTAGTTTGGTCCAAATTACGCCGGCATAGACCCCAGATAGCGGGTGTATAGGGGCAAAGCTTATAATGCAAGCAGTGTGTATACACGTGCGCCTGAGGCAGCCGGGCACTATACGAAGACAGTAACCAAAAAAACTATGGGGCAAACTTTGTCGCATGACCAAGGTGGTTTAAAGGATTTTAAAGGGCATGCTGTCTTTTGCGCATGGGACATGCCACGGTCGCCTGTCACCACACCACAAGCGGGCGGCGCGATGGCTACCGTAAGCGACCAACACATGGTGTGTCTTCAGCGAGCGGCAGTGCAACGGCAGTGCAACGGCAGCGCAGCGCCGATCCAGAGCCACAAGGGGTACAATAGCATGAAGGGAGACAGGCCTGGGAGACGAGGCAGCAGCAGCAGTGGCACCAAAATCGCCGACCCTGAGCCACACCATTGAGACGTAAGAACCCCTTATAGCTTGCAGCTATCTGGTTAAGAGGGAACACGTCCAAACCCCCCTTTCAATTTTCTGTCTGGGTCGGTGGTGAAAGTCCATGTGATTTCTCCAATGGACCATTCCCTATATCCACGTGCAATGGTCTGTTTGATTCGTTGGGCTCCACTAACTCGTTGTTTTTGGATGGAATCATGTCTCCGCAGTGCGTGGCGTGGCGTGAATCAGGTCGTCAGCACACGGTCCACCCGACCCGGCAACCCGGCATGACCCAAAAGAGGCGATAACATGCGATAATCCGATAACCCACCCGACGGACCTACGTCCAAGAGCCGCATTGGGAGTTGGGAGCAGCTACCGGTGTCCATATCCAACACCGCGCAAAGTAGTCATCTCACAAAAATACATTGGCAGTGCCCTTGGCCCGGAGCACAAAGCTACGCCTTCAACAACTGCACTGGGTTGGTGTGCAGTGGTTTTGTTTGGTGGGTTTGTTGTGATTATATGTTGTTTGTTGTTCGCTGTCACGTCCCACTACAGGGGACACAGCGGGACCCATGGGCCGGGCCACTGGTGGGACGATGGCGGGATGTTTTGCCGGCGTCATCTGTGTCATTGCTTGTTGGCGCAGTGAATTTTGTGTGTGTGGGTGTGTCTCTCTTTCTCTTTCTCTCTCTAATCCATCTCCTTCAGTCTTGTGGCCACGCTGTGTCGAAGAGACACCCAAGCGTGGGGGCCACAACACCGGCGCACGCGAGGCCGAGCCGTCACTGGAATCGTATGAATAAATAACCAGTGTGTTCTTCGTGCAAACGCAACAAAGGGCCTCGCCTCGGCAACGCCCTATGTCAAGAACTGTTAGAAGGTGAAATGGGTGACATCAGCCCAGGATCGGATGCCACTTGTTCCCCGTCTGAACTCCAGCAGCGAGGCTGTGACACCGCCTGGGCCGTCAACCCATACGGCACCGCACCAACTCCACGGCGAGCACAGCGGCGTGGGCTATAGGTGGCCACTGCGGCCAGGTGAGGAAAAAATGCACATCAGGAGTGGGGTGCACGCCGATCACAGTGAGCGAGATGGCCAACAATGCCCAGTGGGCGCTCTTGGCGCGTGCCCAAGTCCTCCAACTGCGAGGAGAACGGTTCTCACAAAATGGCGAGATGCTTCACGTACCGCGCTACGAACCACACGGGTTGCAAGGTCGGCACAGCAGGCACAGGCGGATCCGATCAAGGTCATTGGGCTTTTATTGAAGCACATCAGGTGTGGAGTGGAGAAGGCTCTGAAGCGTGACAATGTGTTGCTGGGCTCCTCTACTCCTCGCACAGCCTCTAAACACTTTCTGGCCTTGCAACAATCTAAAGCTGTCCTTTGTGTGACTGGTTGTGGGGTGTTGTTGGGCTCTGGTTGCCCGAGGCCTTCCTGGTACACCGCGGAGACGGTCAACATAACCTAGTTCAATGCATCGGCACAGCGTTGTGCAGAAAGATCGTGGCAGTTGTAGTGCGCTTTTCAGAGGCCCACACAGAAGCGGAGAGCAATCCACCTCCTGCAAAAAGGAAACTTCCGGAGACGGGTGTACATGGCGCTCATTGGGGGGTGGGAGTGCTTCATACATCGAGCTTGTCAAGACAGTGGTGGGACGATGGAGCTCATCGTTGGCAGCGGCATCTGATTTCTGAAGGCCGCTTTCATGGGCACGCATGGGAGCACAAGCTCAGATACGTTCCAGTGATGGGCCAGGAGTTGCGGGCATAGCCGGAGGTTTTACCCAAATGCAACAGCTTTATCGGCGTCATTGTCATATTGTTGCTGACAAAGAGCATACAGTTATATTTAATTTAATGCCCTTTGTTACTAATATCGAACATTGTTCCTAGTAGTAAGGCCAGGAGCCCCTAGTAGCGTCCTTGCTGCTAGTAGCGATGCCCTTTGTTCCTAGTAGCGTCCTTGCTCGGCGTCAAAACTGGAAAAGAAGGCTGAGGCTGATGAAGCGGTCCGCGCCTCCAACCCCCCCCGGATCACCTCCTTCGTGCTTCGATTCACCCAAATCGATCTTGCACCAGTTGCAAAATGGACTTTCTAGCGTCCAACATCAACTATGTTAATGTAAGGGAGTACCTGACAAGGCTCTTGATGATGGGACCCCCTGTCTTTTTGGAGTTGCGGAGTGGCCGAAGTATTCACGTTGTTACCATTTGTATACAAGTATACAAACACATTGTGAACACAAAATACAAGCAATGTGCTGAACGAATTTTTCACACCTCGCTTCCGGCACAAAAACGGTTGCACCTCAAGGTTGCAAGAAAGGCGTTAAACAAAAATTACAGCCATGAGGGACTGAGGGACTCCTGCAAGAAGCCTATGTCGTACGGAAGGGGCCAGAGGGACGGGCACCAGCGCATAGCAAGCTTCAAAGAAAGGAAAACCATGGGCTGGAATTCTCCTTGCACAGGGCACAAAGGGTTCGAGTCCAAAGTGTTGAGTATGCTCGACTCTTGCCGTGTCTGCACGGCCAGGAGGTACAATTGTTTTGGGACTGGCCTGCTTGCAGCAAAGTGTTTTGTAGAAAGGTAGTTGCATGCTTTTGCCACCCTTGCCACCCATGCATATTGAGAACCATATCCACGAAATTCACGGCAGCTGTGGTAAGCCAGCAAGGGTGGGGGGCTGAAGAGCAAAGCGCGCAACAATGCCAAAGCAGAAAAATCCTCAGCGCTCAACAGCAAGAGCTTCAAAGAAGGCACTGAGGCCCAGTGAGGCGCAGTGAGGCCTGAACGTGTCCGATTCATTTCCGACTGGGGGCTGCAAAGGGCCACTTGGCAGCTGTGACCGAGAGAAGCAACATGAACTGCGTGGTGGACGCAGACTTTGGTCGCCGTGCGCAGCACCAAGGCAGCCGGAAAAGAAAACACGTGCAACTCAGCGTAAGTTTATGTAGAGCGATACACTAGTTGTTTGGATTACATTTGAGCATTTTGTGAGCACCTGAATGTGTGCCCATGCCCCAGGGCTTCTGAAGTTCCTCGCTGGTGAATCTTGCTGATTGCGTTTATATGTATATAAGTTTCACAAGCTTCTTGTTGGAGGGGCAGTAGCCGTGCTACACCCGCGCCACAAGCAACACTTCGAGAAATTTGCTCGCCCCATGTCCTGCAGCAAAACCCTCTATCCCATGGTGCCGGCGGAATACATGCTCCTAGTAGCGATGCCAGGAGCCCCTAGTAGCGTCCTTGCTCCTAGTAGCGATGGACATAGAAGTGTGCATGTGCGAGCCGTGGGCGGGCATTTAGGCATCCAATAGTTCTTGAGCGTAGCAGGCCTCCGAATTTCGCCCTGTCACGTTATACCGATCAGTGTGCAGGGCTATGTCGAAGGTTGAAACCTGGTTGGACAGCACTCCAGTAAATGAAGTATTCACTATCTGGCAGCGGTGGTGTTCTGAAAACCAAGCAACTTTGTATGGAATCTTGTCGTTTTCCCAGCAACCCAAATAGATGATGCACACACTCTTCTTGGCACAAATGAGGCCACTGCACTATGACTAAACAGAAGATACGTTCTTTTTTGCGCCATGGCTGAAGTGGATCAAATGCAACCGCATGGCCTCAGCCAAGTGAATGATCAACTGTGAGACCATTGCAACAATAATGGACTCAGACTCAAACCTGAGTCAAAATTGTAGCCTCTCAACTTCTCTATCTAGTCTGCTTTCAATACATGAACAAAAATTCAAGTCTTCTCTGGCTGGTGCCTCCCCCTTGCCCTTGGAGCCAAGTGTCGAGAAAATAGTTGTGGCACGACTTACTTTTCCTGCCAGCACACGCATGTTTGCCGCATAATGTTGGAACTGTAACCAGGGAGGTTTTAATGGCGAGACCACCCAGCAAGCATTCAATCAGGGGTTCCAATCTTGCATTCCGACTTTATAAATCCGTCTGCGGGCTTTGGCTCAACGGGTATCTTTTCCAACAAAACAAATGCAAATGGACTTCTTGTTCCACCTTGATTCATCAATCGTCGCCTCGTGGACCACCAAACTGTTCGGCTGCACACGGCACTGAAGACTCTTCCCCCTGACCATATCAACGAGCAACGATGCACAAACCCTCTTGATGTCTCTTGGTTTCTTAGAATAGAATGTCACTAGTCACCAGCGCTCTCTATATACATTTTCCCATTTTCCAGCGCATCAGCCTTAGTGTTGGTTGGAGGCCATCGCTAGTAGGTTGGAGGCCATCGCTACTAGGTTGGTTTTCTATTTGACTCTCTTCTGTGATTTGGGGGCCCACATGAACCCGCAACGTGCAGCTGCACATCCAGCCTCAGGATGCTGAAGCTGTTGGAAAATACCTACAGCTTTGCAGCTTTGATGAAGATTTCACGGTCATGAGTCATATGCTTGGATCATACAATCGACTGCCTGGAAATCTGGTCAGACTGGAAGTTTGGGTGATGCCTGCTTTGGGGGTTCTCTGGCCTCTGATCTCAAATAAAGTACAGTAGAGGGAAGGAACCAATCTCCCTCCACAAATATTCGAGTCAAAAAAACTTCACTCTTCCAGAAACTTTCAAAGCTTCAAATGCATCATTCACTCAATACCGACATGACCCCTAATTTCCACTTTGGGTAAAAGGACATTGATCATCCCAGAATTTGTTCTTGCTTGCATGTGTTCATCTCCGTGCTAACTTTCTGATCAATCTGGGAGTCTCACCAGCTCTACTCGTCCGGCACTCGCAAATGGTCCGGCGGAGCCCTCACAAGGCCCTGCTTCAGCCTTTGTCAAGAAATGCCGAGGCATGCCATGAGCCGGTGGGGTGGAGAGTGCAGTGCAATACTTGTAGGATTGCTTGGCCGTTTGATCTTGAAATCCTCCTCAACCATCCACGACCAAAAAAATGTATGGGCACAACATCAGCATTTAAAAGCACTCTACTTCCGGGGTTGACAGATTTGGGCCGGCGCAAGGCGCTATCAACAACCCTTGCCATGACAGACGTTTTGGCCCTACACCCTGGAGACAAATGCAAATGTATCAAAAGTACGGGTCGAAAGTGATGGTGTCAGCTCTGCAAAACCAAACATGTTCAGTCCTACCTTGAGGGCCACTAGGCATTCCTTCCCCTGAGCACCTCATGTTGCTCTACGCGTAGGAGCTCTTCCTCTTCACCTGGCAACATCCCCAGCTCAGTCTGCAATCCCCAAGGAACCTCCACTTCTGCGGGTGGAGTGTCTGTGAGTACCATCATTAAAGACTCGTTGACTCATCGCATTTCTAGAAAACTAGCCATTGATCCAACTGACTCAGTGAGTGTATGTTTTGCTCTACCGTACCCTTTGATTGGCTCGAGACGACCCACCTGATTCAGGAATGAAAATTGCTGCCTTGGCCATGATGAGGATGCAATCAGCGGCATGACAGGTGAACCGCTGAGCATTGGGCAAAATCAATCGAGTATGAGGACAGGATGAAATCCCACTGGGCAGAAGTGCCTGGTCAGTCACCAGTCCCAACTAACGGTTACAAAGAGAAACTGGATTGAAGAGGTCATGCATGGAACCAGCGCACTTGAATTGTTTGGACAGAAAGTGACCCCAAGCACTGAAGTGGCCTTTAGGCAGCTCCACCACCAGTTTTGTTTGACTTCTAGCTGCGACCTCAAAAGGATTTTGTTGTCCAAAAAACTTCAGCATGTCACCCCACTGATTTCTACATGCCCATGCTGCCTATGCTCCTCCATTCATGAAGTCTGCGATAGGACACCACTGCACCACTGACACCACTGACCACTGGGCCACGAACTGAAATCTCTCCTTGGAAGTGAAAGCCAGAAACGATTGTTTCAATGCCGTTCATTTTGATGGACAAGGCCAGTGTGACAACACTGTCTCTTTCTTTTTGCTTTTGTGTTTGGGAGTGGCGAAACACACTTTTGAAATCCTCCAAGTGGCGATAACACTCTTCGAACTCGGCACCAACGAGCCGCCGCAGGTGCGTGGCCTCTTCCGACTTGAGAGAGGAGGGGGGTGAACGAAAGGTAGCAGGGAATCAGGCGTAATCCGGGAGGAGGTGAGAGGCCCCCCACTTGTTTGAAGAGAAGTGAGTGAGCGTGATGAAAGAAAGACTAGTGCACAAACGCTTGACAAAACCTCCAGAAGCTGTAGCGGTCTAGCGGTTTCAATACAGGTTGACGTGCCTTCAAAAGGAGTCACATATTTCTCAAATGCAACTTCGGATTTACATAGTGACGTGCGGCGACCCTGTAAATTGCGTGGCCGCAGGCCATGCTTGCAAACAGGACGTGCTCAAAAACACTGGTATTTACGAGGTTTCGTTGCCGTCGATCCACAGCCGCGGCAAGGTCTAAGGCCACGCTTGAAGACAGGAAGAGCTGAAAACACTGGTATTTACGGTATTTTGTAGCCGTCGATCCAAAGGCGCACCACGGTTGAGCGCTGGAAAAGCGCAGAAAACCGTGTAAATACCGGCGTTTTCTGCCGGGAAGGTGCACAAAACCCTGTAAATACCATAGTTTTGTGCAATTTTGAAGCCTCCAAAAGCCTCAAAAACCCTTTCTGACAAAATCTTTCCTGGCTTTTGGTCTTTTTTCGGTCATTTTTCTAACCGAGACGCATCAAAAACCATCGGTTTTTGCGGTGTTTTTTGCCGGACAGCCACAAAAAACGCTGTAAATTCCATGATTTTTGGTCACTGCTGAGGACTGGAAGAGCTGAAAACACTGATATTTACAGTGTTTTCGAACGGTTGACCCCGAGGCGCGCTAGGGTGGAGTTGAAAGGGGGGGG